CACTTCCTCACACGAACCCTCCCCAACGGTCTTGCGCGCCCCCCTGAGATTCTTGAACAGGGGAGTCTTTATTTTTCTTGGGTAGGAGGAGGGGGAAGGGATTGGGGAGGGGGGGGGTGAAAATAGTGAAAAGGTTTTTCTTTTTATAAAGTTTGTCTGACAAAAACAATGGCTTCAAGAGTGATACTCTGTGTGTGGTGAGAACAACGTAAACATAAAGATAGGAGGCAGCTCGGGATGAAGTACCAAGGTGAATAACGGCACATCTAAGCCCTGAGAGTGTTTTTGTTAAAATTTGTCTGGGGGAATGAAGCTCCAGATGCCTTGCTTGAAATAAAACTATTTATTTACTTCGGAAGGACTTGGTCGTGACGAGTGATCCCTTTAACAAACACAATAAAATTAAATTATATCCTTTTCCCCTTCCAAAGGGCACACCTCTCTTGAGCAGTTTAGAGTCTGTTTATTTTAATGCATAAATATTTCTTTTGACAGGTGTACCATAAATATTTTGAACATGGTCGGTCACAAACCTTTATAAGAGTGGTCACGAAACAGGCCATAGCACAGGAGCGACAAGCAGTTTTTCATGTTGTGACATAGAAACTAGATATAGATAATCTAGATTATATCTAGATCTAGATCTAGTAATAGACTCTAGTTATAATAAAGAAAATTAATAATAATAATGATTATGAAGATATTAAAAATAATTATAACAAACATGATACTACAACTACTACTACTGCTGCTACTGTTGCTACTGCTGCTACTGCTACTGCTACTGCTACTACTTCTACTACTACTACTTCTACTACTACTACTACTACTACTACTACTACTACTACTACTACTACTACTACTACTACTACTACTACAACTACCACTACCACTACCGCTACCGCTACTGCTACCACTACCACCACCACCGCCACAAACAACAACAACAACGACAACAACAACAAATGATAATAATAATAATAATAATAATAATAATGATAATAATAATAATAATAATAATGATGATAATAATAATAATAATAATGATAATAATATAGTAATAATTAAAAAATTGTATTACTACAATAACAAATATTATAATAAGAACGATAATAACAGTAATAATAATAGTTTGTAAGTTAATGTCTGAAGGTGACCAATGTACTACGTATATTCATTCTTATTTTTGGAGGGCACTTTTTTGGAAATGCGCTATATAAATGTTATATTATTATTATTATTATTAATTATTATTATTATTACTTTTAAAACACATGTGTGCTTAATTGTCATGTCCAGGTGCATTACCGGTCGGCTTTTGAATGCCTGGACTCGTATCTTCTGGTTACTGAACTGTGTGGTCAGGGCGATCTTCACAGTCTGCTGCACTACCTGGACAGTTCTGAGGTCATGGCCAGGTCTGACGGATTTTGTTTATGCATTTTCTTTTGGGGTTGCACTTTTTTCTATATGTTTTATATGCACAAAGGCTTATTATATTCAAGTACAAAAGAACAAATGGAAATACACGCACGCATACTCAAAAACACACACACATACACACATATACACATAGTGTGCACACGCACACGCACACGCACACGCACACGCACACGCACACGCACACGCACACGCACACGCACACAAGTACCCAAATACACAAAACACATTCTCGGATTCCCCTCTATCACATTCGAAAAATTCCGTTTGTTAAAAATGCGTTCATACTACTGGGTTTGGGCAGGCCATACACAATAAATATTATATCATGTATTATAATATACTGCAACATATTATACACCTATATATATATTATATTATATGCAGAGAGAGATAGAGAGAAAGAGAAAAAGAAATATGCATATATTATGTGTGGTAGATACGTTATGTATTGTATTTGTCATTATATTACATATTAACGTACGAGTATGTATGTATGTGTGTATTGCGTATGCACTATGTACGCACAATATACATATGAACGCATTTTTACTTTGTCTCTCCTCTCACCCCCCCCCCCCCTCCCCACCTTCAGCCTGGTTTAAGTTCCACAATTTTAGTTGTGTCCATATCAATTTACAGTCTGTATGTCTGTCTGACCAACACTTTGTCTCTTTCCTTCTCTCTCTCTCTCTCTCTCTCTCTCTCTCTCTCTCTCTCTCTCTCTCTCTCTCTCTCTCTCTCTCTCTCTCTCCCTCTCTCTCTCCGTGTGTTTGCGCCCTCCGATCTCTCCCACAGTCCCCTCCTTTTGTTACCTTGACTGCCCCTTACGTTGACCATGTTTACCCGTCGTGGTTGGTCAAATTTAGCGGATCTAGCCAGGTATGTATCGGACATCCCGGATGACAGGTGTCTCCGATAGATCCAGCGTGTGTCCCCTCCCACTGTAGCATTCCTGTCCTACAGATTGTTGTGTCCCAGTCGCGGGGCACTTTGGGTAGTCGGTGGGTGGGCAGTGGGCAGATAGGGATTGCTCCAGTCGTGCTGATTGACTCTCCGTCAATATTAACCGTTTATTCGTTCAATTCCCATATGGGAATTTATCATTTTAAAAAAATAAAAAAATAATAATAATTTTAAAAAAATTATTTTAAAAACAAAAATATATATATTTATTCACCTTAAATCGAGCATCTAGGTATGTCAGAATGGACACTGTGCCCCTCTCCGTCTGGGTGGGCCCTGACGAAACAGCCCACCTCCTAAATCTGTTTGAATTGTGTAGGTAGGGGCGTGAAGCATCTACAATTGCAATTAGTTTAAGGTAACGTCCAAAAGCACATTTATAAACAAAATACTACAAGAAAATACAATGAACCCACTAACACTAAGATGCCACATACAATACCTTTTTAGCACGCATTCATAAATTATTATTTGGTGTGACCCACTTCTATGCCTCCCTTTCCATGCCTTTACCTACCACCCAGGACTCACATCATTCGCCTCCACTGTAACATCTGTCTGGAAATTCTGGCCACTTTCGTGTCTCTCTTCGAAGTCTGTTGCCATGGACTTTGACTATGTTTTGGGCATTTTAGTGTGGGAAAAAATACTCGAAGGGCAGAGAGAAAAGAGAGTGTTTGTGATTGGGTCTTGCTGTCTGTCTGTCTGTCTTGCTGGTTGACTGTTGATTTTATCTCTCTCTCTATATATATATATATCTCGCGCGTTCGCTCACACACACACACACACACACACACACACACACACACACACACACACACACACACACACACACACACACACACACACACACACACAGTGTGCCCAAGTGTCTTCCGTGTAGTCCTTTGTCAGTGGCGGCTTTTCCTGCACTTCACATCATTGGCGTGAGAGTTTGTGGATGTCTGTGTTTTCCGGACAATCTCTCTCTCTCTCTCTCTCTCTCTCTCTCTCTCTCTCTCTCTCTCTCTCTCTCTCTCTCCCTCCCTCCCTCCCTCCCTCTCTGTCTCTCTCTCCTTCTCTCTCTCTCCTTCTCTCTCTCCCTCTCTCTCTCTCTCTCTCTCTCTCTCTCTCTCTCTCTCTTTCTCTCTCTCTCCCGCGCTCTCTCCCACATCAGCATCTCTCTCTCTCTCCCCGACAATCATGTTGTTCCCCCGGTCCCCAGCCAGCAATAGGTCAAAGGTCCATCACCCAGAACATCCAGACATCCGGCTTTGTTTATTCCATGCTAGCCACAGATTCAGCTCAATCTAGAACCGTTAAAGGCGGTACAGATGATCAGGAAAAATGATTCATAATTTTTATTATTTTTTTCATCTCACATCTTAACAGTTCCGTGTTGATTTATTTTAGCTCTAATTGAGTCTGTGTTTGGTTTAAATCTGTACGTTCAGTTGAAAGTTACACTATCGTTTGTGTCTCTATGCTGATATAAAACAATCTCATTTTTTATTCTGGTTTTTATAGAGAGGGGGTGTTTTAAGTGGGTCCCTCTATTTCCTTCTCTCCCCTCTCTAACCATCTATCCATCTAACAATCAAACCATCT